AGAGTTTTTTAAATAGTGAATTCATCAATAGAACTTTATTTCACTTCAGTATGTTTCCAAAGGTCTGGATTGTGCTTAAATTGATATAGAGATAAAACTCAAATGGTTATGAGTGGGGAGAACATGGATTGGCACAAAGTTGGCATAAGGCCTATAAAGGACTGTGGGATTTAGTGACTGCATTTGCCCTTGAACAATGATCTTGAGTAGTTCTGGATCTAGATGTTCTGGCTGTAGACTGCATCACAAGTGGCAGCAATCTGGGCAAGTTTAACTGACATGCTATAGCAAGCGCACTGGCACAGTGACAACAGTGACACTGATTCTGAAAGAAGGCTGTTGCATGAATCCACTGCCACTCCCTCAAGGCAGAATTTCAGCAATCCTTTTAAACTAGGTAACATTTTGCAAGCTCCTTTGTAAATGGTAATCCACAATTGTGATGCCAGTTTGCGTGGCATCAAGACAGTCATGCATGACAACAGTCTGAGATTCCACATCATCATGACAGTGGATCAGAATCCTGAAATATTTTTGGACATATTGAACATTTAATTATGATTTTGTTTTGAAAGAGTACTGCTACAGACAAAAGATGACTACAAATGTAAATTCAGTGACCATCTGACGAGAGTCTGATGTGGACCCAAAGAATGTCACACCTGTGCAGAGTCAGGGAAACTTCAAGTAGAAAGACAAAAGAGGAAGAAATAATTAAAAGCTGGTGACTCCAACCACCACTCATCAGGAAGCCATCTCCGGTAGGCATGCTTGTGTTTGACCCTTCTAAAACTAACTACAAACTTGGGATTTTGTGTATTAGTAGCCTGATGTACTAGTGCGTTTTAGTGTTTTCAAATTCACAGTTTAAGAAGTCATTAAACATCCCTGTTCTGTAGGTTAAGGAGGATAAGACTCTCTCTTATTCTAAATGCTACTAGACAGCTGCCATTGAAAGAAACTAGGAAAAGACAGTGTCAGACAAACTTGCAAAGAAGCCAAGGATCTCAGAATTCACTGCTCAACTCCCAACACAAACACTACCAGTACCATCTCATGTAATGACCAAAACTCTCTTCTATCTACCCTTCTTGAACAACTGAGACTGATCTGTATATATTTTATAAATGTTATCTTTTTTGCACTCAATTCTTATTTCTGTTCTGTTGCATAATTCTTTCTCATCTAGTTTAATGACTAGAAAACTCATTCTTTTGTTATAGGAAAGATATTATCAAGCTGGAGAGATTTCAGAACAGATTTACCAAGACGTTGCTGAGTATGGAAGATTTGTGTTACAAAGAAAGTCAGATAGGCTGGGACTTTTTTCACTGGAGCTTAGCAGGTTCAGAGGCGACTTAAAAGAAGTTAATAAATTAATGACAGGTATAGAGAGAGTTAATGGTAGTTGTCTTTGGAGGGGGTGCAAAGGAGGTTCACTAGATTGATTCCGGAGTTGAGGGGGTTGGCTTATGAGGACAGACTGAGTGGATTGGGATTATATTCATTGGAATTCAGAAGATTGAGGGGGGATCTTATAGAAACATATAAAATTATGAAGGGAATAGATAACATAGAAGTAGAGAGGATGTTTCCACTGGCAGGTGAAGCTAGGACAAGAGGGCATAGCCTCAAGATTAGAGGGAGCAGATTTAGGACTGAACTGAGAAGGAATTTCTTCACCCAGAGGGTTGTTAATCTATGGAATTCCTTGCCCAGTGAAGTAGTTGACGCTACTTCAGTAAATGTTTGTAAAAAAAAGGTAGATTTTTTTTGAACAATAAAGGAATTAAGGGATACGGTGAGAACGCGGGTAAGTGGATCTGAGTCCACGAAAGGATCAGCCATGATCTTATTGAATGGCGGAGCAGGCTCGAAGGGCCAGACGGCCTACTCCTGCTCCTAGTTCTTATGTTCTTATGTCTTTTCCCTACAATGGAGGATTTCAAGATTAGGGGCACATTTTTAAGATGAAAGGAGACAGATTTGAAAAGACATAAGAGGCAAATTTTTGACACAGAGGGTGGTTCGTGTGTAGAATGAACTTCCTGAGGAAGTGGTGGATACGGGTACAATTACAATATTTAAGACATTTGGATAGATACATGAATAGGGAAGGTTTAGAGGGGTATGGGCCAGGATCAGGCAGGTGGGATTAGTTTAGTTCGGGATTATGTTCGGCATGGACTGGTTGGACCGAAGGGTCTGTTTCCATGCTGTATGACTCTAAGACTCTATAAATCAAGAAAGCCTGATTAAATTGGCTCCTTTTAAAATATAAATTCATTTGGTCTGGGAGAAAGGCATCCAGAAGGGAATGGATCCCTTTTAATTAGCATTGTTACTACCAACTGAGGAGGCAGGTGAATAAAGAAGAGGAGTTAGTTCATCCCTTCTCACCTGGGAGCTTGATAATTTTGAGGTACCCATCTGGAACCGTAATGAATTGGGGAACTTCACTTGGGGACTAGTTTAACACAGAACAATATCATTCAGTGGCTTCTGTTTGTACTGCACAGAAGTTGAAACATAGCCAGCCAATGCTGCATCATGGTTGAATTTACAAATGTGAAATCTAATTAATTTTTATCGGGGTCAACTTTTTTTCAAGGTCTTCTCTTGAGATTTTCTCGAGTGCTCATTTTTGATTTTCAGATTTTGATTTTT